ATCAGTTGGTAAGTACTATTGTTTGGTTATGGTCAAGTTGGTGGTGGTGGGTGTGGAGGTGGAAGAAGATGAAGAAGAAGAGATGAAGTGGAAGAAAATTGCTAAGTGGAGACCAGAGCCAGATGCAGAGCTGTAAGTAGATAGGCCATGTAAATACAAGATACAAATCCATTTATAAGAATGCATTCAAATTTGTGCATCAGGTATCCATTCTTTTTCCCCATGTTGAGACTCATTCATAGTCAGGAGCTGAGCTATCAACCTTCAGAAATATATCATTGAACCCAGGGTGCTTCTTATTGACCATATAAACAGCACAGACCAGATTTTGTACTGCACCTACTCCACAGAGGCATCCATTTCTGCTGCTGTTGTGTACCCTTTATTGTGAGGAGTCCAGAGAGACTCTTATCATTCCATTGCCTTCTTAATGTACAATGGCCTGTGATTTGCCCTTTTAATGAAACCTGAAATACCTCATTGCTGCCCTGCAGAGCCAAGCTGGGGACAGATTTAGAGCTGAGTGCAGAGAAGAGTCGTATATGTGTGTACTCATCTGAGAACAATTTTACGGCTGTTGCTATAACCATTATGGTGGGTTGGACGTGGATGTGATTATTTGGAGTCCCTCTTGTTTCATTTTGGGGTGTAGTGATGTTGAAATTCCTTTTCTGAATTTGATCTTCTGCAGCAGTTTGTCTAGTTAATGTTATCACCTTGTTTTCTCTCTTCTAAGGAAGATGTACCATCTCCCACTTCCCTTGTTCATCAGCCATTTAAAAACCATTCTGATTGGATATTTTTCTGCCTCTTTTTCTCTTCCCCAACAAAGCTCCCAGGAATTTATGGATAAGTCTTCTGACTTCTTAGTTGCAGACACAGTATATTCACACTAAATTTGTGGTTAAAGTGGTGAGAAAAAGCATGTTGGGAAAATTTGATGAGCTTCTTTTATTTTTAGTGACTCTTTGTTCACAAACTGTTAAAAATCCAGGTGAACTCAGGGTTAGCCAAGGTTCTGAATTTCAAAGAGTGAAACTATTAATACTGCACAGTTATGGGACATTAAATGAATTTAGCCAACTTGGATACTATGGTAAGAAACAGTTTTCATAATCCATGATTCTGTTCAATCCTGCCTACTCAAAACTCAAAAGTGCACCATAGCATGAATATTTCTGGAATCCTGTTGAAAAACAAAATCTGAGATGCCACTGCAAATCTGCTGAATCACAATATGCACTCAATTAGGTCCTCAGATAACTCCTATGCCCATTAAAGTTTGAGAACCACTGTGCTAGACAATACTGGATAGTTCGTATAGAATAACAACTATCACAAATAGTTTTAGATCAGTATAAGAAATTGAAGACAGGCAGGTGCAGTGGTGCATGCCTATAATCCCAGTTGCTCAGGAGGTTTAGGCAGGAGGATCACAAGTTCAAAGCCAGCTTCAGCAAAAGCGGGATGCTAAGCAACTTAGTGAGACCCTGCTCTAAACAAAATACAAAACAGGGCTAGAGATGTGGCTCAGTGGTTGAGTGCCCCTGAGTTCAATCCCTGCTACCCTTACCCTCCACTCCCCCCAAAAAATAAAGAGAAAAGAAAATGAAGACAAATTCAATATGGTATCATTATAGTCCTTTGTAAATAGATTGTAAAGAGACCAGCAGAGTGGGCTTTGATTTGGTCTTTGATTATGTTGCTTTTCACTTTGGCATTCCTGTATATGATACACATTTCTAAATGCAAATGAATAGAAGAAGATTCCTGTAGTTTCCTAACTATTGTCTTTAATAACCAATACATCTCCTTACATTTTCTGCCTTGATCTTCCTATACAGTCCTGTTGGTCTCTTGCAACTTGGATATTCCCTTCCACTTTCTTTCTCATCTCCCACTCGTTTGACACTTAATGTTTGTCACCATGCAATGGCATTTATCTTTTATAACTGTTTTATTTCCTCCAAAAAGATTATAGTGTGTCTTGTAGTGTCTTGAACAGAGTCTTAGTTGGTAAATACTAAAAGATCATGTATTTAGATTATTTAGTAAGAATTCGATAGCATTGATTTTAATATTCCTGCAAAAAATAGAAAAGTATAGCCATATATATTGAAATTAATTGGCAAAACAATGTGATCACTGTGTGAAATACAAAGGCATTTATATAATACACTGAACTAGAAAAGTGAATTTTGTTTGGAGGCAAAAAATCTAGTTTTCAACTGAATCTGGGTCACTGAGAAACATGGTTCACTTGATATAATCCTATTAAAGCCATTAGCCTAACAGTTACTATTTTTATGTTTCCATATTCAATGGATGATATTATAATTGATAAGCTATTGAACTTATCCTTCTAGATTTGATAAATAGTATAATACAGTGCTTGATAAATTAATTTAGAATCCAGAGTTTAGTTCTGTTTTGTCGCTTACAAATTGTGTAACTTGGGCTATGCTATTTAACTTGTTTGTCTCTGTTTTTTTCTTTATAAAATGTGAAGAATAATTAAAACTTCATCCTCTTATGGGGAAAATTGATTGAGTTAATGCATATTAAATACTAAGTTCCATGCTTGGCATATAGTAGGTGATAGGGCATAGTATAAAACTATGAATACAGATGTGGTCTTTACTTTCAGGTAATAGAGTTTAATAGAAGTAACAAGAAATTATAGTAGAGTGATAATGGCTCTAACAAGAAATAATAACCTATGGAAGAACATAAAGGAACAACCTGTCTAGGCTTGATGCTCTGCTGATGAGAAGTAGGAGTGGGAGGACTTTTTTTTTTCTCCAGAGAAAGTTAAGTCAAATATGAGACCCAACCAATAGGGAGAAATTAATATGGAAAAATATTTGGTAGGCATTCCTATATGTAAATAGTTCATGTGCTCCATCTGTGACCAATAATTATTCAAATTATAATGAAATGTTATCAGTCTCTAAGAGGGTTCTGTTGGTGATATAAACTCAGAATTAACCATATTTGTAGCACAGATAATAACGAAAAGATTGAAATCCATTTACAAAAAGTGAATGGATTTGAGTAATTGAAGTTTTGAAATTTGTGATATTTGTTTGTTATTGAATCAGTACACCTGTAGGCATGAACCTAATGATTTCCACAAATATGCTAAACATGGACAGAATTGTAGACTTTTCATGAACACTATAAAAGATCAATTTATTATCATGTGTTTTAAGATTTAAATAGGTAAACATTAAGAATTCAAGCAGACAAAATGCAAGCATTTGTTCATTGACTTCCCAGTGTAAACAACTACATTTTAATCTAAAGTATATTGGGTATGAAATAGACAACAACGAATTCAATTCTAATACAGCAGTAAAAATAAGTAAAATTTATTTACAAAAATAAAAATATATAGATTTAATTTTGCAATATTAGTGTGACTATTTATTCATGCCAGTTGAAATGAGGACTTACAGAGAAGCAGTAAGTAAGAATTACAAGTCAATATTGCTATACAAAATCACTTAAGAAAATTTAATATAAACATGTTTGTCTACACTATTCTTAATACTAATTTCAAGTATCTACTTCTCTTTTTTTTGACCCACTTATTTAAAGAAAATAAAACTCAAACAAAAATTTAACTCAAAATTTGGCCCCTTTTCCTTTCTTTAATTTTTTTGTTATTGTCTCTTGTTGAATATCAGTTACCTCTTTTTGAAAAATAAGTAACACTAGAATGCTTTTCCTCTTGGCTGGATGACATATTGTTTTTCATGTATTTTCACTTCTTTGAAATAAACATTTTAAAACAAAAACAACTTTACACTTAGGAGTATGGATTAATATTAATATTTAATGAGATCCAATTCTTGGCTGTTTCACCAAAATAGAGCTTTGTATACACTTGTCAATATGTAGTAAGTTAACAGCACCAATTAAATATAATTTAATCATCCCTTACCTCCCCCCACAAAAAAAGGGTTGAAAAAGACGTGGTCCTGGTTGATGCACTTGAAGTTAAATGACAATAGTTATATAGTTCAGAAATATTACCATTTGAATTGAGATCTTTTAATTTAAAACTCAGTTCCTCTTTATTCTATACTCTGTGATAAATTCGATCTTTAATATTTTATTCTTAAAAATGACTAATCAGGCATTAATCAGACTTATAACATTCATATAAAATTCACTTTCTAATGTGATTTCTGATCAGAACTAAGCAAACACTGACTCACTGTGCAGAACTCTTGTGACAAAGGGTCTTGTTTTCCTTGTAGCTCCCCAGAATGGCTTTGCATTCTCTTATAATGTCAAGTTGCGATCACTCAAGAGGGCTGTATGTATTGCTTGTTAAGAGCACAGTCTCTGAAATGAGTTCAAATCAAAGCTGTGTGAGCATGAACAAGTTATTTATTATCTCTTTGCCTCAGTTATTCTGTTAAATGAGGATAATAATATTAATACATACCTTGTAAGATGGCTATAAAGATAGAAATAGAGATGGATTAATTTGTAGATTACCTGACCTATAGAGGCATAGACATCAATAATTACTTTGTTCAAATAAAAATAGATTAGCAAAAAGCTAGGTTATGATTCATAAGCATATTTAATCTGATAAAAATAGCTGATCTCCCTGTAGCTTAGAACAGTTTCTGAATATTCATTATACAATAAACTTTTTTAAGGCAATGAGCTATAGTGGTAGTTGGAAAAAATAGAGATGCATAGGGAAGGGACACACTGTTTTATGCATCTGCAGATAAATTTATTTGATAATAATAATATCAGAATAGAAAAACATGATCACCAACCAAAAAATCAATATTTCAAATGCTGTGATTTTTGTGGTACTTGATTTCTAAGTATCCCATCATAGAAGTGATTAATGCCACATAACATTTCTCTTTTGAGTTCAGAGGTGAGATGCTTATATTTGAGGCACAATGATATGATACGAATGATCAAGACTAACCAGCCTTTTCTTTATTTTCTTTCTTAACCATCTCCAGATTCCTCCAAAGTCCCTCAACCGTCTTCAGGTGTAAATGGTAACATGCAGCCTCCCAGCACTGCTGGCCAGCCCCCTGCCTCTGCCATCCCTTCTCCTAGTGCCAGCAAGCCCTGGCGCAGCAAGTCCATGAATGTCAAGCACAGTGCCACCTCTACCATGCTGACCGTGAAGCAGCCAAGCCCAGCCACCTCTCCCACACCATCCTCCGACAGACTGAAGCCACCCGTCTCAGAAGGGGTCAAAACTGCGCCTTCGGGTCAGAAATCCATGCTTGAAAAGTTCAAGCTGGTTAATGCCCGGACTGCTCTACGTCCACCACAGTCTTCGAGTTCAGGACCTAGTGATGGTGGGAAGGATGATGATGCCTTTTCTGAATCTGGTGAAATGGAAGGTTTTAACAGTGGCCTGAATAGTGGTGGCTCAACAAATAGCAGTCCCAAAGTGTCACCTAAATTGGCCCCTCCAAAAGCTGGAAGCAAAAATCTCAGCAATAAAAAGTCTTTGCTACAGCCAAAGGAAAAAGAGGAGAAGAACAGGGACAAAAATAAAGTTTGCACTGAAAAACCAGTCAAGGAAGAGAAGGATCAGGTGATGGAGACAGCTCCTAAAAAGACCTCTAAAATTGCAAGCTTGATCCCAAAGGGCAGCAAGACAACAGCAGCCAAGAAGGAAAGCTTAATTCCATCTTCCAGTGGGATTCCAAAACCAGGCTCAAAGGTTCCAACAGCAAAGCAAACCATTTCACCTAGCAGTGCAGCAAGCAAGGAGTCTGAAAAATTCAGGACTACCAAGGGAAGCCCTTCCCAGTCCTTACCTAAGCCCATAACCACTGAGAAAGCAAGTGCATCCAACTGCCCTGCTCCTCTGGAAGGGAGGGAAGCTGGCCATGCTTCTCCTTCCAATTCCTGTACTGTGCCAGTGGTGCAAAGCAGTGGGCAGAGCACAGGAAATGGTGCTGTCCATCTCCCTCAGCAGCAGCAACACAGTCACCCAAACACTGCCACAGTGGCTCCATTCATTTACAGGTAAGACGGCCTCAGTAGGTCCATATTTGTAGTTCTTCATAGTCTGAGTACATGGCATCAAGATATCTGCTGAAGTACTGTCTTAGATAGTCATTTTGGAATAAGGTTTCACTCTGAAGCTAGAGGCCTAGAGTTAAATATGGAATTTTAGTCTAGAAAAACTTCCAGTGTGATCTAGTCTTATTCTTTCTCCTCTCCCAACCTTCCACCTCCATCTCTCAGAAACTAAGGGCTTCAAAACTTGAATTCCTTGTTGTTAAAGGAAAATAGAACCCAGGCTCCATGGGTTTCTTCTCCCTTCAATATTATACTACTGTATTACTACTATAACTTTTTTAGAATAATGTCAGTTTTATGGCAATTAAAAACATTTTTGTTGTCATACTTGGAAGAAAGTATACCATAATGGTTAAAGAGGCAGACCTGGAAGCACCATAGATGTGGATTTAATGCCCAACTGTACCATTTGCCAGCTTCTTGACCTTGACCTACTTGACCTTATTTAACATCTCTTAGTCTCATTTTGTTCAGGTGTCAAGTACAAATAAGAGTTTACCTTGTAAATAGGAGAATATTAAAAGAGATAGTGTTCACTCTATATCCTGGAATATTTTAAATGTTCCTTAAATGTTGTCTGTAAGGCATCATTTTTCCAAAGTAGATTTTATATTAATTTCCAACACGAGGCATAAGTTTCTTGGCAAAATTAAGTAGCTGTGTAATTAGTATATGCATACTTTGTTATCACATTTATTCTATTTTTTAATTTTATTCTATATGTAGTAATATACCATATATGCTATATCTAAATATAGGCATCATGATACACAGTCATAGAAGTAGTGCATATTGCCTATTTCGTGTGATATGCTTCAGTCCGTTAGAAATCTGTCAGTCACTGCTCTGTCCCCCAATGTTATTCACTGCCTGGCTGGTAAGGACCTGACAAAGGAAGGAATGATGTCTACTTTATTTTGTATCCTTTTGCCACATTGGCAATTTAAAAATAGGAAGGAAATTTTATCAATAGGAAACAGGACCTGCTATAATTAGTCTTGAGTCTAGACTATGTAGTTATAAAATTTATAAAAATTTATTCAATGTGTAATTTTTTAAAAAATAAAACCAATTATTATAATGATTCATTTTCCTTCAGTGAAGAACCTGTTTTTCTCTAGAGCTTTATATACTCAGCAAAACAAAATTATAATTATTCCATTTAGTCTCTTGGGATACCTCCATCAATCTTGCTATTCTCTCTTCAGCAAAAAAAAGCCTTTGTGTTTGGATAAGAAGAGTCTGGAGACTTTTCAGATTCCAAGGGCCCTGTCTGACAAAGCAGAATTTAGATATCAAAAACATAATCCACATTTCAATAACATAAGACAAAATTATCAAGTCTTAAGTTTGTCACACACAGCACATTTGTGTCCCAGATATATTCTGTAAATAATCCATGATTTTTAAAAAAATCACAAATTATTTTCACAGGAAAGTACAAATCTGTATCTGCCAATTTATCAGACTTTTGTTTATGTTTTTATTCTGATAAAATATCCAGTGGTTTTACAAATTAAATAGTGTCCATTTGAAAATTTTGCTTTTTTAAAATTTAACAAGTTTAATCCTTATTAACATCTCAGATAAGTTCTGTGTTGCTATTGACTTTATTACATAAAAAATAGAGCTCTAATCCTTTTGTAATTTAATTTTTATTCATAGTTAAATTTGTATGTATTTACCATATATATCATTATGTTTTCCGTGTACACACACACACTATAGGAATGACTAAATATGTCTAATTTGCATATGAGTTTCTCACATAGGTTTCATTTTTGTGGTGAGAACACTTTTTAAAATCTATTCTCTTAGCATTTTTTGAGAAATATTCTCTTATTAACTTGAGTCACCATGTTATACAGTAGAGCCTTTAAATTTAGTCCTGCTCACTGAAGTTTTGTATTCTTCTACCTGTGAATCTCCAAACCTGACCCCTAAAGCACCCAACCCTTGGTAACTGACCATTTTCTCTCTACTTCTGTGAGGTTTATTTTAGGTTCCACATTTAAGTGAGATCCTGTGCTATTGGTCTTTCTAAGTCTGGCTTATTTCACTTAACATAATGTCTTCCAGCTTCCTACATGTTGTCACAAATGATAGGACTGCTTTCTCTTTTATTATTAAGTAATATTTCATTGTGTGCATATATGTATTATATGTGTATATACATTTATATCTCACTGAAAATATAACTTTTCAGTATTAAAAGGAAAACGTAGCATGACTTAGAAGTGTAAGTGTGGATCCACCGTGTGACCTTGACAAGTTCTTTATCCACTTTGAGTTTTAGATTGCCTATTTTAAAATGAAGATTATAAAAGGGAAATGATGTATCCAAGCAGCCAAGAGTATAGACTGTGTCCTTCTTTATCATTGTACAGGAAGACCATCTTGTGGTGTTTGTGAAAATGGCCCTGCAGCATGCTGCCTGGGTTAGAATCTCAGTCACCAAGGATCAATTATGTGATCTTTTCCTTATTTAAGGATTTTGAAACTCACTTCTCCCATCTGTAAAATGGAGGTGTTTAACACTGTCTGTCACCTAGCTAACAGCCTTCCCCAAACTCCAGATTCTAATCTTGTAAGCTGTGATTAATAAAATGCCCACCTTAGTCAATTGTTGTATAGCTTAAATAAAATAATCCTACATAAAGGTTTTTAGCAGAGAGCCATATTTGGAGTAAATGACAGAAATGTAAGTAACATATTATTATCAATCTATATGAGACAATGATTAAAGTCCCTGACCAGAATAATTTTATGAATGATAAATTAAGTCCTCTTAAGGCAGAGTGATTAATGTTCATTATTTTTAATGGTCAGTGAAAGCTTTGTATTATAAAGTCATAACATTTGGATGATGTGACCCCTGAAATCCTTGCTCACTCTCACTGTTCCTACTCTAGGTAAGAATCCCTCCTGCAAAAATAGCTTGCTAATGGTTTTATAATGGAATTTTCATTTGCTGATTTCTTACCTAGTGAAACTGTATGTTACAAGATCAGTGCTTATTTAAACTTGACCATAACCAATGAGAAAGGAATGTTATCTCCATTTTCCATGGAGAAACAGATTTGAAGTCCGAATAGTAATACCGTCTTCAAGTCATAGTACTTGTGGGAGTTTACTTTCCAACTGAAATCTAACTCCCAAAATATTCCTTTTAATCAGTCTATGACATGCCCTCTTTTGTGTATCAGTATTTTCTATATGTAGAGAAATAAGAGGTTTTGTTACCAGGAAATGTTTGACTAGGAAAATGTCAACAGTACATTTGTGAAATTCTAAATCAAAGCTTATTTATAATGGCAAATTCTTAATTGTTATTAAGTAATGTGAGTTTAAAATACATGCATGTGAATTTGTGTGTCTAAATATATATATATACATGCTTATGTTTAAAAGCTAATTAAATCACCTCTATATGCTGGTAAGCTTGATAGCTGATGGTGATTTTTTCTTACTTTGCTTACCCCACTTCTTGGTCATGCTAGGTTAATCCTTATTCCTTCTTGGACATGCTTCATAATACTTTTTTCTTGAAAACTGAGTATTTAAAGTCCTCTAAATATAATGTTGGGTTCTGGCAGTTAATAGATTCATAAGACTAACTTCTCGTCCAATGCACAGTATTTTACATAATGTTTTTGGAACTCAATTATCCTTACAAAATGATAAAAGTCATTTTGAATTTGTTATCCTTATCCACTAAACGAGCAGAAGCAACTAAGATCAAAGGTGGAGAATTGAGGGAAGGATTTTAAGTTTAATATAAGAAGTTCTCAATAATTAGAGTCATTTGAAATTGGAATAGGCTGCCTTTTTCAAGTGTTAAGGTGTTCATTGGAAGTATTTAAGAAGTTGTCATAGTTTAGACAACTGGAAATCACCCAATACTTTTCCGCTTACGTGGCTTTCTCTCATTCAGCAGCTAATGGGTAATAAAGATGTAAAGATTAATAAAAATTGCTCTGCCCTCTGGGAGCTCAGTCTATTGGGGATAACAGTGATAACATAATCAAAGATATGAACCCATTGCTTATCTGGAAGTATAGACAACATATAGAATTATTGTAGAAGGAAGAGGAGGGTTTTAAAAAAATTCTTATGTGGGAGTACAGCCTATCAGAGGTGAGACATATACATGAAAGGGAAAATGGTAGGCCATCATCCAGATTTGCTGTCTGCAATTTTATGATCCAGGCATGATGGGAAAAAAAATATTTATTCTTTTGTGAAGTGCCACAAACTCTGGAGACTAGGGTTTAGAACTCATGACCATCTAAATAGGAGACAAAAGAAAAAATTTTGGAAAAGAAATCCATATTTTATTTCTATCTTCAATGAATCCCTCCCCACACATTCAGCTTTCAGCTAGTCCTGTAAACTCTCCTCTCAACACATCTCCTTATCCTTTCCATTTCTATTCGTCTCTCCTGGTTTAAGCCATATATCCACCAATTCCCACCTAGTTTCCTGTGAGTCTCCCGGTTCTTACTCCAGAGCTAATAACACCCTTCACACACACCGTAGGCACTCTGACCTTCTAAAAATGAAAATCATATATAGACAAGCCCTGCCTTGTGATGGTTTGACTTGTAGGGTTTTTTTTTTACATTATGATGGTGTTAAAGTGAAACACACTCAGTAAAAATTGCTCTTCAAGGGCTGGGGTTGTGGCTCAGTGGTAGAGCTCTTGCCTAGCACATGTGAAACACTGGGTTCGATCCTCAGCTCCACATAAAAATAAACAAATAAAATAAATACATGTTTTCCATTCATAACTTCAAAAATATTTTTAAAACTCCTTTTTAAAGTTTGAATTTTGTTCTTTTCCTGGGCTAGTTCTATGCAGGGATACTCTCCATGTGGGACAGTGGCAGCAAGCCATAACTCCTGGGCAGCCATGGGATCATGAGGGTAAACAGCCAATACCC